ATAACGGCTAAGTTTATTGTATTCAGCCTCATACTCGTGCACTGCTTGATCACCTTGTTTCAAGTTTAGAAACTTCAATAAAATCGATCTCATGAACTACTCCCCTATATACTTGTTCTTGAACTCCTCTTGGAAAAACTGCCAGTTCACTTGCTCCGGCGACGCATACACTCGGAGTAATGATACTGATATGCCCAACTTTTCATGATCGGAGCACTGAAGACTTTTCAACATCGCCTTAACATCATTCAACCATAAACTCGTGTCCATTGGATCTTCACTTTCTTCTCCTCTGAACTCTGGAGCTCTCAAACTTCTTAACTCCTTTGGAATTAGCATTCACGGTACTGGAGGAGCATGGGGATGTAGAGAAGAATGAAACCTTAATAAAATAGCATCTAAAGCTTGCATAAAAGCTCCGAACTCCAGAACAGGCATACCCTAAGGTGATGGTGCACTGGCATTATCAGAATGAATCGGATGTTCACTATTCTCTACATAGCTCTCACTACCCGATTCGTCTCTACTCTCTTGACCAGCCGCTCTTCTTAAATTAGTATAATCCGACATCTATCACCACATTCATAAAAATCATACTTAAGTTAGTAAGGAGAGACATCTTTCATATTCATTCTATACCCTATCAGTAACTTTGACATCGTAGTGGAATGTAAACTATTTTTATATCAAAATACACTCATTTTCTGCCGAGAATCGGCTAAACTTGTAGCTCTGATACCAATAAATATAACACCCATCTCCCGTATACCGTTACGTATATGAGGTACAAATGTCACATCACTTTTAAACTAGTTTCCATTTTAAAAATCCATACAATTTTGTTTCAATTTATAAACCATTATAATGTACTTGTAGTGAAAACATGTATTAAACTTACATATACAATAAAAACAGATAATACACATTTCACTGTTATACATTAGTTTAATTCAAAAGCTTTTCAAAGCGTTTTTACTAAAAATATTACATGCCAACCAAAATATATCAAAAGCAGACAAGTATGTCATATTGTTACTGATGAGGATACTCTAACTTGATATCTGACTATCCCTTTACTCAGCTTTTATTCCACCTACGCGTGAAATAAACACATGTTAAGTATTACTTAGGGAGGCATAATTAATCACAAGTAAAGTTCTAAACACAAATTATTTCTCATATGTAAATTCATACACTTAGTATGAAATCCTTCTCATGTTAGCACAGAAAGTGCCCTATATGGAAATTTATACACTTAGTATGAATTCCTTCTCATGTTAGCACACGAAGTGCCCTATATGGAAATTCATACACTTAGTATGAATTCCTTATCATGTTAGCACACAAAGTGCCCTATATGAAAATTCATACACTTAGTATGAATTCCTTCTCATGTTAGCACACAAAATGCCCTATATGGAAATTCATACACTTAGTATGAATTCCTTCTCATGTTAGCACATAAAGTGCCCTATATGGAAATTCATACACTTAGTATGAATTCCTTCTCATGTTAGCACATAAAGTGCCCTATATGTAAATTCATACACTTAGTATGAATTTCTTGATATTTTAGCACACGAAGTGCCCTTTTGGTAATCACCATACATACATCAATATTTCATACCATTATGACTATAACATATATGTACATAATTAAATGCACTCACATGGTTCTCCTTGCTTAGATATCCAAACTGGGAAGATAATTACTCCGGAACTTGGCCCTTGCCTTTTGCCTTACTCGACTCGGGACCTTGATTTTGATCTATCCCAGATTCATTAAATACATATATAATATCAATTGTTAGTGTATTTTCTAACAATCATAACTTAAACGTTAACCAAAAGTACTTATTATTAATATTTGTACAACAATACCAGCATAACTTAAAATTTTTGATTCCTCATTATCGATATTCCCACAATAGTATCGATACTACCCCACTATGGTATTGATACCCCTTCCAGTATTGATACCAAAATTAGATTCGATGTGGTCCAGTATCGATACCCTTACCATGGTATCAATACTATTATACTATGGTACTGATACCCCTATATGGTATCAATACAAAAATTAGGTTCGATGTTTAATCTTATCTAAACCCTCCTTAAGCTTCCATCTTATACAAAGCTTCAATACACAACAAAAATTGAAGGAATAAACCATTAAATTGAAAATTTACCTATGAGCTAGGGAGAAGTTTGTTCTACAGGGAAAGAGGAAGAAAAAGGAAAAAGACTGTATGGCAACCTAATCCCCTTTTCTCTTATCTTTAATACCAGTTTAAAATACACTTTAAATTCTCTTTCATATAAAAGTCCAAAATGCCCTCTTAATAATCCATAGTCACAATTTAGAATTAACCATTAATCCTAATCATTCTCATCTTTCATTATTTAATAGAATAAATCCTCATATTTTTGAATCATTTCAATATAGTCCTTTAATTGATATTTGGGGCATTACATATACCATAAGGCAAAAGTTGGCAAAATCTTCATAGGGTATCGATACTGAAGTGGAAGTATCGGTACCATAGGTACTGATACCAAGGTGGAAGTATCAGTACCATTTTTACAATGAAAAATCCAGAATCAAGAATAGGTATCGAATATCGTGGGATGGTATCAACACTATAAGCATAAAGGCATCGGTACTGTACTTGTAGTGCCGATACTACTCAAGTAAAACTTGGAATTTAGTGCTTTGATTGGTTTACATTAGTAAAAATCTTTTAGAGTAATTGAATTATGATATTTATAAGGATTGTATATTCGTGTAGATATCGAGAAAAAGTAAAGTCCGGATAAGTCAACAGAGTAAGATTTACCGAGAGAGAGATAAGAGATTGGTATTGACTAGTGAGACCAAGGTGAGTACATGATATTATGTATAAGTTATTTTATGGAATTAAGACTTGTGATGAGTCCAATTCCTATACTAGATTACGTGAGTACATGAATACAAGTATGTTATTGCTATGATACTTATGTGTACATAAGCATATGCATAGGTCTAGATGTTAAGTACATTTTCATACATGATTTATGTGAATGCATGTCTATATGATAAACTATGTGAACTGATATATTTGACTTATGTAATTAAAGGGAGAAATGAGATAAGCTATGTGATAATAAGTTATGTGATTACACGATAATAAGATATAAGCCATGTGACAAGAGATATGTAATTACATGAAAGTATGATATAAGTTATGTGAAAGTGATCTATGTGACTATATGTCTATGTGATACAAGTTATGTGACAAAAATAAATGATAATGCCCGTGTTATGTGATATGAGAGCTAGGGGTATAGTTGGCATGCCAAGAGTCGAGGGCTCTACGCGGTCCTTCGGGACAAATATGTGATCCTTTGGAACATATATGCGGTCCTTCGGGACATATATTTGGTCATTTAGAACATATATGTAGTCCTTAGGGAGAATTCTATGTGGTCATTTGGGACATTTCTACGTGGTTCTTCAGGACATATATGTGGTCATTCGGGACAATTCTACAAGGTCATTCAGGACAATTTTATATGGTACTCAGTGCAAATTATACGAGCTGTGGTGACAACATTTGTGCACAACCTCAATGCACTCACATATCTTTAGTTCTCACAAGTATACATGGGCTAATAAAGAGATAAAAACAAATACATTATATATGATGTATATGCTTTGTGATGTGAAATGTATTACTGGAATTATGTGATGTTATGTGTATTATTTTGTTAAATGAGTCATATGATGGTTAAAAATGTTAGGCATAAGAGTATATGATTATAAGGACTAATGTTAAGAATGTTAAGAATGATAATGATAGTACATCTACACGTAAGCATTTTGTTATATGAGATGTTATATGATTTTGTATGATATTATCGTATGAAATGTACATGCATTGTTAAGTAGTTATAGTTTCCATTATTCGTTTTCATGTCTCACTAAGTCTGTGACTTAGTGTGTAAGTGTTTCACACGTAGGATCTGAGAAGTTTGAAAGCGAAGTTAGGCAGCAGAGACAACATAACATCATCGGAGATCAGATCAAAAGAAATTTAACAGTAGGTTTCTATATTGTATTAAATAACATTGGCATGTACCTAAAGGATTAAATTGTATAAGCTCTGATCAGTTTTTGTAAACTTTTTGATTTAATATATGTAAATTATTCAGTATGTTTAAATTAAGTCTTAAATTTTCCTCTATTTTATATAAGGAAATGATTTGAATGGTTAATGTGACACATCAGACTCATATTCTAGTCAGAGACGGGTTGGGGTGTTACATTAATAAGCTCCTTCGTCAAGCACATGATATTTCCACTCATATGCTAGGTATTTCGACTCGTTTTGTCACCAGGTTATTCTCACTGATGTATTAAACGATATTCGATCTTGGTACAATATTTCTTGTGGGTACTCTTTTTCCCTTGCTAAGAATTAGAAATTTTTTTAATGAGGCTCGGATTATTTTTAAAAAAAACTTTGAATGAATTCAATCAAAATTTAAAACAAAAGATGTCGAAATTTCTATCATACCATTGATTTTTTTTTAATCTTAAATAACAATTAAGCTTGTCAATGGTTAGGTCTAACTTCCAAATTTATGATTAGTAGTGAGTCATCTAATATCCCAATAAATGTTTAATTTTGGAAGGATTGGGACTAGGAACTACCAATTTAATGAGTTAGTTTTGCTGGTTTTGCATTTATTATAAGTTACCAAACATTTAATCTCATCCAGTTTATTATAACTACCAATTTAATGAACTACCAATGGATGAATTGATGGAAACTCGTTTTTCGAGTTTGGCCTAGTTTTTGCACATTACTTTCTGTGTATTGCACTATTCCTCATGCATGCTTGTTGTGTCTGAAAATGAGGGAGCAATGGGGATGAGTTGATCATTCATAAAGCTATACTAGATTAGGTATGAGGTTTGCTGTTTGATTTTTGGGGTATTATTTTGCCCTTTCTTTTCCAGGATAACCTGCAATATGGAGGATTCGACAATTGAATTTCTACAAGCACGTTTACTGTCCGAACGATCTGTCTCCAAAAGTGCTAGACAGAGAGCTGATGAACTGGCAAGAAGGGTATGTTTAAATGTTTTACTTACGAGGCTTTTGAGGTTTGGTTGTTCTATTTTATCCTCTCTCTCTCTCTCTCTCTCTTTATGTGTTTATATATATATATATATATATATATATATATATATATATATATATATCATGCTCAAGTGTATCGACATTCTGTAATGCTTTAGAGTGTTGGGTTTTATATAAATTAGGTAGCTGAACTTGAGGAACAGCTAAGAATTGTGTCTGTCCAAACGAGGAGGGCTGAAAAGGCAACAGCAGATGTTCTTGCCATTTTGGAGAATAATGGGGTAAGTGCTGTATCTGAGGAACTTGATTCAAGCTCTGACCAGGACATGCCTTTTGAGTCCAACATGGATAATGTTTCTACTAAAGAAGAGGAGAGATCTGTCGGTTCAAAAGGGAGAAGAAAAGAAGAGGAACTTTCTTGTTCTGAGGATTTTTCTTCACTCTCTGGTAGAAGCTTGTCTTGGAAAGGCCGCAAGAGTGCTTCTCATTCTCCTGAAAAGTATAAAGACTCACTTGTGAGAAGGCACAACATGTTTTCATCTCCAAAACACTGGCAGGGGAAATTATGCCGGAAGATAAGACACCGGGAACCAAGGTTTGGTACATGATACTTTTGCTTTTATTCTATCAGAGAGAGGCATGCCATTTTCCTTTTTTTAAGTAATAGAAAAGAATATACTGTTCTTTAATCATGGATACTAAAACCTGTATGATATTCACTCCTCTAATACAAAGAATAAAAATTAAAGTAAACCAATACTGATAATTTAGGTACTAAACGAATAGTTTACTCTAATTTATTTCATATTCAACATGGTTTTCCTCATAATTATGTACGCATTAGTCAAGTAAACCAAATATTTGTGAATGCTTTCTGTGTAAATCAGATCATTTGCGAAGGAGCTTAAATCAGGACTAAAAGATAAAAAATGGAATAATGTTATAATTAAGGATTATTTTTCTCATTTTCATTTATAAAAATGACTGTACTTGAGAATTTTCTTCATCTTGGTACATTTAAGCTGATTGCATGTTCAAGATTGAAATCCTCACAGGTATTAACTTTCATTAGTCAAGTAACAAAATTATCTATTGCTTGTTTTATTTCATCAGATTAGTAGCGGAGGAGCCCAAATCAGATGATGTCAAGGCCGGTTCACCAGTAAATGAACTTGTAACATCACCTGAAGTTAATGATAATCAGTCTAAAAGTGAGTTATATTTTACCTTTGCATTCAGAATTTCCTGTAAATAAAAGCTGAATGGACAATCTACATTCAGATGCCTTAAAAGATGAAACAAATATAACTGCTTATGGTCATGGTTTTCATATGAAGGTGAGAAAGACATGGAAAAGGCACTAGAACATCAAGCACAACTTATTGACCGTTATGAAGCAATGGAAAAGGCCCAAAGAGAATGGGAAGAGAAGTTCAGAGAAAATAATAGTAGTACACCGGTATGTTTAAGCAAAACCTATTTGATAGAGATTAGGTTTTCTTTTACCATAAAACCAACAAGAATATGATCCTTAGCCATACACATATCTCACAAGGCTTTATCATCTAGTTTTGGTCACTCTTTAAAGAATGCTTCAATCCCTTGGATTTGATGTTGGTTTTGGCGATGGTAATACTTCTTGGATTCAACAATTATTTTTCTCTAGACAAAATATGATTCGACCGTTTGAAATTAAATAACCTCCGTTTGAAATTAAAGGGTTCATGGTCTTGGTGCTTTGGATATTAGTTACATGAATAGAGCTCTACTAGGGAAATGAACTTGGAGGTTTGCTAATGATAGGGAGACCGTGTAGAAGAAGGTAATCTGCAGTAAATATAATATGGACCCTAGTTTATTGATGTTCAATGAAAAACTTCCTGCACATGCTTCTTAGATTTGGAAATCAGTAGTTCAAAATCATTTCAAAGAGGATCAGTATGGAGCTAAGTTTCGAAGTTTGTTTAAAGTTCGAGTGGGGAATGGTGGGAGCACCAGATTTTGGTTTGATAGCTGGGCACTTGATTCCCCTCTTAAAGTGGCTTTCTCGAGATTGTTTGTTCTTTCGTTAAACAAGAATGGGAAGCTTAATGAGTTAGGGGAGTTTCGGTCTTGGCATATTCAAATGAGAAGGAATTTAAGTGACTGGGAACTGGATCAGTTTTCTAATTTACTGGCTATAATTCACAATATCACTCTTTCCCATGAGATGTCAGATAGTTTGGTTCGGAGAGGGAATGGGGAAGGGATTTATACTGTTAATTCGTGTGTGAAGTCATGTTGTCCAGTTTTGACAGCAGACTCCTTTGGTGTGGTCCTTGTCACATTTATTTTTTACTTGCTCTGTGGTGTGGTCCCTATGTAATAAATTTTTGAGATTTTGGGGGGTTTGTTCAGCTTTTCAAGCCAATGCTAAAAGTTTTATGTTAGTTTGGGAAGACATGGTGCCTAATTCAAAAATTTGGTCCTTCATTCCGGGAGTAGTTTTATGGACAATTTGGAAATGTAGGAATGTCATTGTGTTCGATGGGGGGAGGTTAGATCAGATTGATCTTTTTTTAATGGCAAGATGTAGGCTGGCTGCTTGGTTCTTAACTTTCTATAAGGAAGTCCCTATTCTGAAGGACTCTCTCATTTGTGATCCATCACTTGGGGATTGTTGCTCTAACTCAAGGTCTTCAATCATCAAAATTGAGTCCTGGTCTCGCCCTCCAAAGGACTATTTAAAACTGAATGTGGATGCAATTGTTATTGCAGATTGGAGGAAAAGTGGTGTTGGGGGGCATTCTAAGAGTTGAGGATGGCTCGGTGGTGGGTTCATTCCAAGAGGCTATTGGTCTAGGTCCTCCTATTTTGATAGAGCTTATGGCAATTAAGAAGGGCTTAACTTTCTTTGCTTTGATTCAGCAGCGGTTTAAGGAACGTTTAATTGTTGAATCTACCAGTAAACTAGCAGTGGATTGGGTCAAGAACAATGATCGTTGTCCCTATGTCTACGTAGACTTTGTGAAAGACATTGTTACTAAGTTAAGAGGTTTGAAGGATATTATTAGATGGGTTGCTAGGTCAGCCAATGTTGAGGCTGACAACTTAGTTAAGGCTGGTATTGGCTAGTTTCACTGTTTTGGTTAGGTTATCGTTTAAGCTTTGGGTTGGTTATTGTAAAGGGAGCTTGTATGTTTGTTTCTTAAGAATTATGTAACTTTCGGGTATTAATGAATTATAAGACACTCTTTTCCTCATTCCGCTGATTAAGGAGCACCTTGTGATCCATTAATCATGAAGGGGTTTTTTAATGAGGCCTACCATTCCTATCAAAAAAAAAAAAAATACTAGAACCATCAGCAGATGTTATGTCCTTCGAAATATCAAGAAGAATTTCAGCTCGCCTCCAGTCTTTCTTTCTATGAACAACCAAAGCTTTCTGCTCTACTAGAGACACATTAACTTCTTCACCTTTGTTAGGATACTCATCTTAAATGGAATCTAACAATTCATAATCTTGCTCGACCACATGCATCTTGTCAAGAATATTAGAAACTTTTACATTAATTCCACCCATGTTTCATTCAAGGGTATGATCTAACTGCTTCTGCAATTCACCTCGTACAATAGGGCTTACGGGCCCAGCATCATATATGGGGTTTTCTTCATCCCTTAAATTAAATCATCAGCAAGACAACGATCTGGTATGTTAAAACTGGTTGTGGGCACCTTTGGGAATCTCCATCTAGGCTCCCACTTGTTCATGTTCCAGTCAAGTGTAAACTGCATGCGACGATTCTTCATTCGCAAGTCATAATATAGCTAGTTTTTTTTAAAAAAAAAAAAATCTTGATATTGATTTCATCTTCCTCGAGCTCTAACTCATCCAATCATGGCTTAACAGAAAACTTCACCCCAGGATCTAATTAGGCTTTGATACTAAATTGATGTTGTTAAAAAGGGAAAACAACAATAAATTAAAGAACTAGGGTTGAACAAATGAAGAGGAAAAATGGAAATAAAAACCTATAATTACAACTATTGATTCAAAGATAATAATAGAAAAAATTGTTTGGCTGTAAAGCCTACAACTTATTTGTATAAGCCTTCTTTCTTGCAAGCAAAGTAACAAGACTTTCTTGCAAATTAAGTTTTATTCTTAAACCTAGATTTAAACTTTTATGTAAACTAATAATATTAGCTGTCCAATATATATGTAATACTTAAATTAAATATTATAAAAATAAAACTGAAATAATAAAATATTATAAAATAAATAAAAGCTCTTGTGTTAAACATGGTAGTGGTTAGAAACACCAAAAGCATTTTTATGCTTTGGATAACAACCGGAATAATTTAGAGGATGTTGGTAAATTGAGCAGTCAAGATAAATGCATAAATAAACACCCTCGTACAATTTGATAATATCTAGAAGCTTTTACATGTTATTAAGGTTTAGAATTGTTAATGCTTATTCTGTTACCTTGTTGTCTGGACCACTCTCTTTACTTGTGCGCATGTGTCTGCATTTGATGTGTTCCCCTTTTAGTTTAATCCATATGATCTACCTATCAGAAATCAACCCGTTTTAAGTTCTTTTAATAAACTCTCGGTAAGTTTCTTAAAAAAGTATCGTTTAGAGAGGCTAAAAGTGCAATGTATATGTTTACTTTTGGGAAATTTTAAAATTTCTATTTTTCCCTTGTTCCTAAATGTTCTTGCAAGGAAGTTTTTGGGATCTGTGTTTTATGTCACGCATACAATTGAATTGTTGGCTTTAATTTGAGTGGGATTTTTTGGAGTGTGTGTTTTCTTCGAATTTTTAGAAATGTTTTTTCTAGTAGATGGCATTTTAGTCTGCAATCCTATAGAGTGCTAGCATGACTTCTTGTAGAGGGATGCATGTCTCAATCCTCTCCTTATTTAGTACTTTCAATTCCCAAGTCATCCTACTCCTTTCAATCTACCTGAAACTCAAAATAGACCTTTATAAAACGAAAGTATATTGTACTACTTTGAACAATTAATCTAATACTACATTAATAATTAATAGAAAATGATTAAATTTTATCAAGCGTTATTTTCGTTGTTTTGTTAAGAAAACACCTTAAATACAACTAAGAGAATAAATAAAAAATTGAATCTGAGTATGATATGAAGATTGATTTTGAACAATAAAAATAAATAAAGAATAGTGTATTATTTTACCATTAGATTGGAGAAGACTAAGAGTTAAAGAATATTTGATAAATTGATGAATGAGATTTGAAAAAAGAAAAGAGAAAAATATGATTATATTTAATTCTAAATTAAATGAATGAATGATAGAGATGAAGAAAGGGATGAGAAACTGAGAATTTTATGGAATTGAAAAAAAATTAGGGGCCTCATAAAGTAGAAAGTGGGATTGAAAAAATTAAGGCCCTCAATTATAAGGTAAAAAATGAGATTGAAAAAAAATTAGGAACCTCAATTATAAAGATCAAAAAGTGATTGAAAAAAATTAGGGTCTTCAATTATAAAAGTAGAAAATGAGGGCCCTAAGCAATCGGTCAGGGTGCTCCCCTATTAGCCGGCTCTGAGCTTATACTTTTAACGGGTTAGAAGAGGGAATCAGTCTTCTCCCTTACTCCTAACCTTAATGTTGGTGCGGTTTCTAGTACGCTTTGAGGCATGCTTATCCAGTCGCAAAATCTCGTCTCCCTTAGCTTTTCTGCCCTTGGAATCTACTCCCTTTTTTATGTGTTATGAGACATCAGATATTTTTCCCAAACTGTGACACATTGCACACTTTCTTAGTCCTTGTTATGTGGTAAAAGGTCACTTTACTCTGCCTGGCGGTAAACGGCATTTGTATTATTTTCCTTGCGATTGCTATGTGCAGGTTTTTTGTTCTTTTTCTTATACATATCTCGATCAATAATGTGGTTTTTATTTTATGCTGTCTACACAGTTTATTGAATGTTTTGGCGCTTACATTATATTTTGTTTGTGTTTGCTGACATTATGATTTTTCTGGTTAAATTATTTAGGATTCATGTGATCCTGGGAACAACTCAGACCTCACCGAGGAAAGAGACGAGATCAAGACTCAAACTCAATATGCATCCGGGACAGGTAGCTCAGGAGTCCAACAGGCAGAGGAATTACCTAAACCTCAATCCTATGATCCCGTGCCACCTTCACATGGTGATATGGATCGGTTACAGGATCGTAATTGTAGCAGCTCCCTTTTGGCCGCGTCCCTAAATCCAACATCCCCAGGTTCCGTTGAAAAGGAAAATCGTCATCAGGGAAATCTGCAATGCAACCATTCACCGGTACACAGTTGTCATCAATTTGCATATGCACATGGTTCCACTGGGAAGCGGGCAGTGCATCAGGAGAGTCCGCAGAGAAAACATTATCCTATACACAGCTCTCATGCACATGGTTCCACGGGGAACCAGGAAATGCATCTCCTTTCATCTGTTATGAGCCGTTGTTCAACCACGGAACCTTCTGGAAACAAAAATGAGTGTTATGCACTGGTGCCACATGTAACACCTGGCAGGTTTACCAATGTGCTGTATGCTCTTAATCAAGCTAGGATGTCATTACAACAGAAAATCAATACATCGCCACCGATAGAGAGTGCATCTGGAGGAAAGGCTATCAAACCTTCTGTTTGTGGGAGAAAAGTTTGGGAGAGGGTAGAGGTTCCCGTTGGATGCTCGGGACTCTTCAGGGTTCCAACCGACTTTTCAGCAGAGGCCTCTAAAATGAACTTTCCGGGTTCAGGTCTGCAGTTAAGTTTGGCAAACTATTACCCCGATGCACGAGTCGCACCGACTTCTTGTGGCAACACTTTGTCAAGTAGTTCCAGTAATTACCCACCAGTTACCGGTGATCGTTTTTACAGTAGCCCTTACATGGATGTTAGATCAAATTCTTCCGTAGTCCCAGCTGCGTCTGGTTACATAAACGGCGATCAAATTCTCACCAGTCGGTATGCAGAGACAGAGTGGAGATCCACTCGAAATCCATGTTTTGATCCTTACTCGGAACCAGGCCTACCCTCATCAGTTCTGCAGAGCTATCCAACATTCCCCTCCTTTCCTGACCTATTGCCACGGATACATAGTAGAGAAAGATTCCCAGTCCTCCGTACAAACGGATCAATCGTGGTACGTCCTGATCAGTTTTCATTTCACGACAACCACTTTAGACCAGATATCCATAGATTGTAGCTTATTTACGTTGCATCTTAATCAAGAAAGATGTTTCACGTGAAGATGCTTGGCCTCTAATGCCATTTCTGTAATCACTCTCTTTCTATTGTCTTTACTAGTCAAGGGAGAAGAGAGTTTTCTGGGAGATGCAACTGTATGTATTCATATATGTATTTTCTCATTAATACTGTTGACCAGTAAGTATTGTTCGACCAATAAACTTAGAATGGTAGACTACACGCTTAGTATCCAAATATCATTTTTGTTTTGTTTTGGTCATTAAATTTTTATTTATTTATAAAGGTATACTTAGCTTTTTGATTTCATTTTGGTTACTCACTGTTAAAAAAATTAACGTAACTATTGATGTGATATTTAAAAAAAATCAATGATGTCGTGGTATTACATTTTGTTGATACGTTAACATCATCGTAAATGTTTTAATGAGAGGATCAAAATGAAAATCAAAACAAAATATTATATGATTTTAAAACAAAAAATAGTTGAGTGAATGGAACGAAATAAAAGTAATAATTTGAGTACTAAATGTGTAGTTTATTCTAAACTTAGTTAAATCTCTAGTTAGAATATTTTTTTCTTTCTGTAATTGGAAAAATACAAAGTAACTTGCTGAATACTATTAGCTTTGCCTTTTAAGTATATGAATTTTTTTGGAGCATATAAATAACTTTTGGAATAAAAGAAGTTATTTTCCTTACTTTCTCTTAGTAGGTTGAATTTTTATTTACCCAATTTAAGATAAAAGAAAGTAAATAAAACTTTGAAGAGATATTGTCTTGCACTTATCGTAGATACTGTCTTATACTTGTCACATATTAATAAAAAAATATATTAATTTTAAATGGGGTAAACTACACATTTTGTTACCTTAACTATCAATTTTGGTCTATTTTAGTAACTAAATTTTTAATTTTTTTAAAATCATACTTAACATTTATTTTTGTTTTATTTTAGTATCAATGAAAAACTTAACGTTAAATTTTTAAAATAAATTAAAAATTTAGGTACTAAAACGGACTAAAATTGATAGTTTATGTATTAAACGCGTTAAGTTTTTAATGACGAGATAATAAAATAAAATAAAAACTAAACGTTAGATATGATTTTGAAAAACACTGAAAGTTTAGATACTAAAACAAAAAAAACTAATAATTTAGATATTAAACGCATAACTTACCCTTTTAAATATCCAAAGAATATTATATATAACCATTTTCATTCCTTAGCGTTCGCTCGCTTTACTTTCGTTTCATTTTCTCACTAATTTCAAATATCCAAATATAGGAAAGAATTGATTGTTAGAGCTGAGTAAAGAAAAAAAAACATCAAATCATAGTGTTTGGACAATTATGATGTACAAATACAATAATAATTATTTTCAGAACAAATATAATTATATAATAATCTTAGCTTAATAAAAAAATATGATTAAGTTAAATATATATTCAATAATTCTACAATTTGAAGGGATTGTCTCAGGAAAGGCGACTAATATACAACTAATATACGATATTACCAGATACATTAAAATATATTTAATAAATTTGGTTTAGCGCTACCTATTATGTTGACAGACTAATAATGTTTTAGGTAGAAAATATGAAAAACTATTAAAAAATTTGGTAACCGGTAAACTTTGGTTATCGGTAAGTATCAATACATATATATAAGTGTCCATACTTATTTCACTGTAGAAAACATTAATTTGAGGTTATCTTTTGAGTGAGTTTTAAGATATTAATTTAGTAATTATACGCGTCTAATGGTTTATTTTTATGTTATGGTATATATTATTATTAAATTAAAAATAATAAACATATATATTACATATTTACTATTATCTTTGGTTAAAATTGTTAAATTTAAATTTTAAATAATATTTTATAAAATATCAAAGCAATCAAATAATTTTTTGTGTAAATAAAATTATTAAATTAATATTGTAGGTGGAAAATATGAAGCACTACTAAAAATTTTTGAAACATAAATTTAATAACTTTCAACAAAGTATCGATACATTTTTATAAAAATATCTATACTTTCAACATATTAGGTAAATTTTATCGGTTTTGTCATAATGAAATTGGTTTTGTCATATTTTTACCTGTTATATTGTAAAGTATCGATCATTTTTATAAAAAGGATCGATACTTTCAACATATCAGGTAAATTTTACCGGTTTTGTCATAATGAAACTGATTTTGTCATACTTTTACTTGTTATATTGTAAAGTATCGATATATTTTTATAAAAAGGATCGATACTTTCAACATATCCGGTAAATTTTACCGGTTTTGTCATAATGAAACTGGTTTTGTCATATTTTTACCTGTTATATTGTAAAGTATCGATACATTTTTATAAAGTATCGATACATTATAGGTGCTATTACTGCTTTTCTTTTAAATTCCAAAAGTGTCGATACTTATTTAAATAGAATCGATACTTTCAACATATCCAGTAGGTAGTTTAATGTAATAGGTAGCGCCTATTTTTTTACCGTTTACATTATTATACTTGATAATATTTCCAGTAAATAACCGGTTATGTTATCATTGGTAATATTTTAGGCGTTTACCTAATATATTGTAATAACAAATTAAATAATTATCCTATTTTATTATATAAGCTCTACCTAATACGTTATATAAGCGCTACCTAATATGTTATTGTGCTTGATAACGTTTCCAGTAATTAACCTATTTTATTATATAAGCTCTACTTATTACATTATATAAGCGGTACCTAATATGTTATTATGCTTGATAATGTTTCCAGTAATTAACTTATTTTATTATATAAGCGCTATCTATGTGGAAAATATTAATTTAAGGTTATCTTTTGAGTGAATTTTAAGATATTAATTTAGTAATTATACACGTCTAATGGTTTATTTTTATGTTACGGTATATATTATTATTAAATTAAAAATAATAAACATAGATATTACATATTTATTATTATCTTTGGTTAAAATTATTAAATTTAAATTCTAAATAATATTTTATAAAATATTAAAATAATTAAATAATTTTTTGTGTAAATGAAATTATTAAATTAATATTGTAGGTGGAAAATATGAAGCACTATTAAAAATTTTTGAAATATAAATTAATAACTTTCAACAAAGTATAGATACATTTTTATAAAAAGTATCTATACTTTCAACATATTAGGTAAATTTTACCGGTTTTGTCATAATGAAACTGGTTTTGTCATATTTTTACCTGTTATATTGTAAAGGATCGATACTTTCAACATATCATGTAAATTTTACCAGTTTTGTCATAATGAAACTGATTTTGTCATATTTTTACTTGTTATATTGTAAAATATCGATACATTTTTATAAAAAGGATCGATATTTTCAACATATCCGATAAATTTTACCGGTTTTGTCATAATGAAACTGGTTTTGTCATATTTTTACCTGTTATATTGTAAAGTATCGATATATTTTTATAAAGTATCGATACTTATAGGTTCTATTACTACTTTTCTTTTAAATTCCAAAAGTGTCGATACTTATTTAAATAGAATCGATACTTTCAACATATCCGGTAGGTAGTTTAATGTAATAGGTAGCGCCTATTTGTTTTACCGTTTACATTATTATACTTGATAATGTTTCCAGTAAATAACCGGTTATGTTATCATTGGTAATATTTTAGGCGTTTACCTAATATATTGTAATAACAAATTAAATAATTATCCTATTTTATTATATAAGCGCTACTTACGTTATATAAGCACTACCTAATATGTTATTGTGCTTGATAACGTTTCCAGTAATTAACTTATTTTATTATTAAGCGCTTCCTATTACATTATATAAGTGGTACCTAATATGTTATTCTGCTTGATAATGTTTTCAATAATTAACCTATTTTATTATATAAGTGCTACCTATTACATTATATAAGTGGTATCTAATATATTATTATGCTTGATAATATTTTCGGTTAAATAATATAATATAACCGGTCTAAATTTTAACCGATCACACTATTTTTTAACCGTATTTTAAGCGCCGTACTGCCCAACTTCCCCGATTTGAATCGACCCATAAAGAAATCTCATTTGGTACTGCCCAAAGCGAGCAGTACATGAAAGTACTTGTGTGCTAAATTTTTAAGGCAGCTTTTTGTACTTGTGATGCATTATTTGGTGGGAACCAAACACTCAAATTTGGCATCCCATCCACTTCTAAGCCAACCAAATCCATTGTCCATTATGCCACCGAATGACACCCTCTTTCCATTTTGTTGAAGAAAAAGCCCAACGATATTTTGTCTAGATATGCGTAGATATTATTTATTTCAAGTTAGTATATGTTCATGTAACGACATAAAAAGACAAAAATACCTCTGAGACATGTAAACCAATTTTAACGAAATTTTGTTTGAATGAACTTACAATTAGGATGTTGTTTTGGTGTAACTTTCTATGCATGTTTTATATCTTATTCAGTTGCAAGCATGCTTGAGTGAGAAAAAATAGTGGTGTTTCTATATCAGGTTACTTCAATGGTTAATACAACGTTTGATATTCGGGTTGTGTCACTCCGATCAGATATTGAGTGTTACAAGTCTTTTAGTGTTTTTATAACTACATATGACCTAAGGTGGAAATCACATTGTATCCCTTGCACATGCATCCCTTTGTGCGTAGCAATCGAGCGCCAAGGGTGTAAATAGCTTCAGTGACCACTTTTAGAGGCCTAATGAAACATATGATATCTTGTATCAATATCAACATTGATTTTCTTGATAGAGCTCAATAAGTTCTCTCTTTACAACACATGCGAGTTTCAAACCTTCAGGGTATTCTTTGAGAACATGTATTCTCTATAATCGAGTGATGTAAGACATTCTTAGATTGTTGTTGTTAAGAATGCTTCTAATTATTGTCCCGATCTTGAATGAAAGTAAGTTAAAGCTTTGTAGTACTTGTTTTGATAAGAAATAAAGAAGGTAGAGTATAATGAATGTAACACC